CGATCTCCCTTTTCAACATTTTGGCCTCGGAATAAATTGTGTTGAATAGACGTGGACTAAGGTTACCTGGTAACCTTCCATGGTGTCCCAATACAGCCGTGCTTTGTGGCGCTACGACTGCACGGGTTTCTGGGATTTGTAGCGGTTTGATTCTCGTCCTTGAGTTGTTAATCTTGTAGAATGCAAAGCCGAAAGGGAAAATGTTTCAACAATATTGTGTTATTTATCTTCTTTTTCTTTTATTATTATTTTAATATTAATTATATCTTCTTCTTCTTCTTTTGTGTTCATCCTAAGATGTTATTGCGTTGTGCCCGTTTACAGCATGGTTGCGATATTTGCACCTTTCGGCCAACACATCCGATTTCTGCAGGAATTTGTTGACCGAGTTAGACTTTGCGACCAAATTAAATTGTTTCCAAGATTAATGTTTTTGTTTTTATGTATGAATAACAAAAATCAAACAGATTATATATCATCAATAACTACTTACCACTTTAATTAAATAAATATTCGGTAAACACACATTCAAGCTGCAGCCAACTCTCTAGTGTGTCTGCACACACAGTTTGGAAAGCACTGAATTAGAGAGTTCGGCTGAGACGAGGACTTTTAATTCTCTCCCTGCTGGCATTGATCTTGCTTTATTAAATCATCGATAATGTTAAGCAATATTTGTATTGATTTCTCCTTTTCGTGTATGATGGCTTGATTATCTTGAAATGTGACACATAATAATCTACACATCAATCAACTGGTTCTTTAAAGAACGTGGGTATAATCGCGGCAATCCTGAAAGTCTCTCTCTTTCTCTAGCCGGTTAATCAGCCCTATGTGCTTTCAAAGGCAACACGTCTTTAATGTCTTGTATCCACGTTAGCTCAGGTCTGCCTCTGCGGTCATTTTCGGAAAACTGTACCCTCAGTCACCATTCTCTCCAGGCCAATGTGATGTTTAACAAGGCCGAAATACCACAGCTTTCAGAGTAGGATGCTGTTTGTGAGCCAGTTATCCTTGATGCTCAGCTCACATACGAAATCTCTTTCTCTTTTCTTTTCTCATGGTATTCTAAGAATTGTTTCATTTCAAAAGCTGATTAATCTACAGTTGCAGGTAATATCCATATTATATCTTCTAGCAGTTTTCTCATCTCTTCTTCTTCTTCGATCCTCCTGTCAGAAAAAATTGTATCAGGAGCCCGGTAGCCTTTATGCAAGCTGTCGTGCGGCCCATATCCCCTCGTATACCATACAGCTTTGTCTTCATTGTGGTTGGAACAGGCCAGATTGCGTCTCTGTTGACAGCATACAGTTGCCAGTGTTGGAGCACATGCTCAGCATTTTCGGGTGCCAAGCTACAGGGACAGGTCTCCGTGTTTCCGATGCTGGAAAGTTTAAACATAATTGGCCAAGTCTGTTTTGCCCTGTCCTGTTTCTCATGCATGTCTCCGGGTTGTAAGCACCGGTTATTGTGAATGATGTTAAAAACGCAGCTTGACCTAGTTGCTGATTGTTCCTTGTTTTATTACATGTATTTGATTTCTTCTTTAGTTTTAATTGATCTCTAACACTCTCTTGTCCTAATAGTACACTGTCTCAGACTGCTGTTCCTCCGTCTCTTGATGTTGTCCTTCCACTTGTATCTCTGTCTACCTCTTGCTCTTGCTTTAAACTTTTCCCCCCAATATGATTTTTAACAGAGTATTTTGTCTTTTAATATGGCCGAAATGAAATAAGGACAGTAGCATCTTAACATACCATGCATGTCATAAGAGGCAACTAAGGAATCTTAGTGTGAGACTGACAACCTAATACCGTGGGGAAAAAAATATATAACTTAAGACTGAACCGACCGTCAGTAAACCTAAAAAGCGGCTTGATGTGAGTTGGTTATAGGTTAAAGGCACGTGCTCTGTTTGGTGGTGCAGAGCACAGAAAAGATGGCGAAGAACGTGATGATGATGATGAAAAATTTTATATTTTACTGAGAGATTTTTAGTCTTAGTCTGGTTTTCTCACGCTATCTGTCTCTTATTCCATCTCTGTTCTCTGTGTCTTGTTCGCTGGCTTGTCATCTGTTTCTCTTACTGTTTTTTTTTCCCTGTCGTCTTCTCTCTAACCCCATCTCCTCTATCGCTACCTCCCTTTCTTGCACTCCCCCCCCCCCTCCTTTCTTTCCCTCGTGCGAAATCTGTCTCGCCCTCTTCTTTCTCTGTCTCTCTGGGCAGACTGGTAATACGTGTCAAGTTCTTAACCCTTCGAAAAAAAAAAACCCCTCTCTCTATTATCGCTCGGTCCCTCTACATCTCACTCGATCTTCCCTCTCGTTCTCATTCTCTCTTGCACAGTCCCCCTTACCTTTTTATCTTACAACAACAATACAGCGTTTGAGGGCTTCTCGATTCTGGTAGAATCTAAAGAACAAAAATGAAGTAACCTTACGGATGCGTATTGCTGATTTTACATCGATGATGTCTCGGCTTGTGACAGTAATACATTTCAGACTTCTGCTTAAGCTCTAAAGTTGTTCTGACATCTTATATTAGCTCTTAGTCTTAGTCAAGGATTCAACTTCCCAGCAGTCGGGTGACCCCATACTTGCTGCGTTCCCCTGACAGTGAAAAATGAAACGTTCCTTACTGTTCCATTTGCAAAACTGGTGAACAAACAATTAGTTCGACTCAGTCCAGAAATATGCGCGCCCAGTAAATGCATAAGGCAGTTGTCAGAGGCACCAAAGCCAGCAGTAAGTAAGTGAATGTCCCTTTTCCACGCCCTTGGGCGTATTGGACAAATAGGGCCAGACCTATATTTTTACAGACCAATCAGCATAAGATGGGTGATATCAACAGCCAACAGTTTGTCGTTGATGGAAGTAGTCGGGCATGATAAATTGGTATACACACGCAAAATTATTACGTAAGGTGTTTTACAGGCCCACACGTAACATACACTGCTTTCCTTGTTATATCCTTATCTGGTTTATTATTATTCTTTATGTAAAGTAGTACATGACCCCTTTCGCCTCTTTGGCGTAAAGGATATATGGTGCTAGTCCAAAATTGTGTATAGATCAAGCAGTGGTTGATGGGTGATGTGACGCCTTTACTTTCTATGATATTACAAGGTATCCTGTTCAGACTGGGCCTACCTTGATGTCATGTGTTAATTTTAGAAACCCGCTCCGGTGCATATTCAATCGCAAGATCTTCGAGCGGACACTCAGGGGTCCGCCTACTGTGTGAGTTGTCCATCAAGATGATGATGACCACTCTTTTTCATCAAGTATGAGTACGAAGATGACTGATGAGGCCGATGCTGGCCCGAAAAGTTCTTGGACAGTGAGGACAGGGAATGAGAGTTGTGTCAGGAAGGGGATCTCCTGCAGTCGCCTTTCTGTCCATCTTTTTCTTAATCAGTCTTGATGTTCTGTTTGCTTCACATGTAGTCGAGCCCTTGTGTAGAGCTGCACGCCATGCATTTCAGTCTTGAGAGGCAGCCTCCCAATTGGTGTCATGCATCCCAAATGCTTTGAGTGAAGACTTCAAGGTGTCATAAAAGCGTTTCTTTTGCCCGCCTTGGAAACGCTCCCCATTTTGCAGCTCACCTTAGAAGAGTTTTTTTGGGAGCCTGTTATCTGGCATGCGTGCCACATGACCAGCCCAACGAATTAGATACTGCATCAGTAGAGTGTGGATGCTGGGCATGGCTGCTTTCTCAAGGACTACGGTGTTAGGTACTTTGACTTGCTAACTGTCGCTTGCTAACCTTCTGTGCTTGTTTACTCAAATAAAGTCATGTTTTGGTCAGATATTATTTCCAGCGTACCGCGATCGAAGGGAGTCGCCGTGGCCGAGCGGCTTGAAGGTCGTGGGTTCGCTCCCTGACGGAGCCGGACTTTTATTTTTTTTAAATAACCTTGGCTTCCAGCCTTGAGTGGGTACTGGGTGCAGTGCCGGGAAGTAAAGGCGGCCGGTATGATGCTGACCACATCACCCATCTTGTGCCGATTGGCCTATACAAATATAGGTCTAGCCCTATATGCCCTATACGCCTAAAGGCGGGGAAAAGGGTCCTCTACTTTTTTTTTTTACCGCGATCGAAACCCACTGCTGGCTGCGTTGATTTTTATCATGGTGCTGGGCGTCACAGGTTGACCCAGCCTAAAAAATGGATACCAGGATATATGTTCTGGGGAAGTAAAGACGGCCGGCGCAATGCTGACCACATTACCCACTTAGTGCCTATTGGTCAGTAAAAATATGGGTGCTCTTCCCGTATGCCCGATGCGCTTAAAGGCGTGAAAAGAATCTTTACTTACTTACTTATTAGTCAGAAATGATTGAGCTACCGTAAATTAATAATTGGTACTGCCTGTTCTCGTCGATTGTTGGGCATCGCATACAGTGGTCAGTACTACCTGGTCTCTGCGCCAGGTACTGTCAACGCCGGTTGTTGGGCAGCGTCTACCAAAGCCACACTCCTACACACACTGTGCCCACAGCTTCGGGCTATGGAGAGAAGGAAATTCATCCCCAGTCTTAACTGCCTATTGTCGACCTGTCGTGGGCTGTTTTTCATGCCCCCAACCTCTGTCCCTATAACACAATAGAACACTTTCATCGGGAAAGACGAAAGGGCGCCAACAATTGATCTGATGTGTCTTTTGGTCCAAACTTCTTTGTTTGAATAACCTGATGTCATTTGCCTTAAAGGGACTGTCTCTGACGTTTCAGCTGTGTCGTACATATTTGCTTGACATTAAGGAAACGACACACCGACACTTGTTGAGTCAGTTCTGATATGATTGTTATTAAAGAAAGGATTCAGGTGCGATATAAAGTGCGGTATTTCCTAGAACAGTGACCACAAAGTATATACCTAGAGGAAAAGACAGCAAGGAAAGTGAGGATTGGAATTCACCATTTCGTATTCGGGTGTTCTTAAACGGGTGGACTCAAGCCTATGGTTTAGCAGTATTCTCGCCAGGAAGCCCTGAAGATGGGGGACGACGAGGAGACGCAGAAACTCAGCGATGTTTATGGGCTGAACTCCGACTCCGAGAACGATAGCAGCGATAACCCTTACAATGTGGACTCGACTGTTGAAGGGTATGTTGATATTTGTGTGTGTGTGTGTGTGTGTGTGTGTGTGTGCGCGCGCTAGTTAGCAAAGAAGTGAGTTATTGTAGCAGCAGGAGGAGGGAGGGAGAGTGGTACGCAGACATATGTGTTGTAGTGTAGAGTGGAGGTGTTGTGTAGTGTGTGCAGTAGAGTAGATGTGTAGTTTAGTGTGCCAAGAAGAGTGGAGGTGTGGTATACTGTGCAAAGTAGAGTTTAGGTGTACTGTAGTTTGTGAGATAGAGTGGAGATATGGTGTAGTATGGGAAGTAGAGTGGAGATGTGGCATAGTGTGTGAGGTACGAGTGGATGTGTAATTTAGTGTGTGAAGTAGGAGTGGATGTTTAGTGTCGCGTGTGAAGTACGAGTGGATGTTTAGTGTCGTGTGTGAAGTAAAGTAGAGGTGTGGTGTCGTTAATGAATTAGAGTGGATCTGTGGTGTAGGTAGTGTGTGAAGTAGAGGAATTGTCTGCTGAAGTGGGTGAAGTAGAGTGGATGGGTAGTGTAGTGTGTGAAGTAGAGTGAATGTGTGGTGTAGTGTTGAGGTAAAATGGATGTGTGGTGTAGTGTGTAAAGTAAGAGTGTGTGTTTAGTGTAGGGTATGAAGTAAAGTGGAGGTGTGGTGTACTGTGCGAAATAGAGTTAAGGTGTGGTGTAGTGTGTGAGATAGAGTGGAGGTGTGGTGTAGTATGTGAAGTAGAGTGAATGTGTGGCATAGTGTGTGAAGTACGAGTGAATGTGTAATGTGTGGGAAGTAAGAGTGTGTCTAGTGTAGTGTGTGAAGTACGAGTGGATGTCTAGTGTAGTGAGTGAAGTGGAGTAGAGGTGTGGTGTCGTATATGAAGTAGAGTGGATGTTTTGTGTAAATATGAGATACAGTAGATGTGTAGTGTAAGTAGTGTGTGAAGTAGAGAGGATGTGTACTGTAGCGGGTGATCCTCCCGGGCTCACATTGGGCGTATAAGTCACGTCCGGACTCACATAACTCAACTATAGCTTTATGACGAATGAAAGAATACGTGCTCCGCATCACTTGTCATAGATGAATAAGAATACACAAAATGAGTTAACTGAGGTATCCCCAGAAGAAATTCACATGTCTTTCTGGCCAGATGAAACTCTTACACACGAGTGAACATTTGTAATGGATACTAGTCAGAAAAGGCTGTTAGGGCAAGGGTCGTAACTCAAAATATTATATAAGGCTGTGTTGGATGTTAAGTCCCTTAAGCGGGTTGGGTGAAGCCAGTTAGCTAGATAAGGCGATTCTCAAGTGGTGACTTTAGAGCTAAAGTGCACCAGCAATGGTTTGAGGGCACCATTCTGCACGTCAGAAAGATATGTAAAAATAAACGTGATGCTATTAGCACTGTTAGTTTACTATTAGTAAACGCTATAAAAATATGGGTTCTTTCCCAGTATTTCACCACCGATGACGTCATGGGACAGTCCAATGATTTTGAGGGTGTTAAGAGCGGGCTTTCCCGCTGTCTGTGTGTCTTTCAAGGCGTTGCCAAGGGTTTCTCCAGAGACTCGTGTTTGCGACCTTCCTCCAGCGACTTGTGTATTCAGTCTTCATCGCCATGAATTTCCTGGAATTAGCAGCATCGGTGCCTGACGAGGAGAGCAGCGTTGCTTTCCTGCAACATCATAGCATTCTGCATAGCAATAATCATGCCATCGTGTTACAGTAACAATAGTCTGTAGCATCAGCTGCTGCTACTGCTGCCGCCATATTAGCAGGTGCTAACTTTAAAAAAAAAAATTAATTATCATTTTGAAGATCAATTAGCTTGCTATATATTATTGTTTTTATTATTATTATAATTTCTAACAGCACACTAATTTATCTTCGAAACTGTTAAAAAAAAAACGTGTTGCAAATTAATCAAACTAGTTTAATTTGTGTATAAATCGACTCATTATACATAGTGAACTTACCGGCCCTTCGGATTTACACACACACGGGAATTTTCATTGACCTGGATGGTCTTAAAAAAAGCTATAATGGGCCGTAGGGCAAAGCAACTTCTAATTTTTAGTAAACATACACACACACACACACTACACACCCGATATACAAACGCATGCGCGCGCACACGCACACCCTAACACATAGAATGAACGAGCTTTATTTTTAAAAGGTCATAATGGGGCACGCAGACCAGTTTTACACTGGGCCTTTCCAAGCACTTATCTTTCACACAGCAATTGCATTCTATCTGAAAGCATGTTGTGTTCACAGCAATATACATAACTGGGGCGAAAGGGAGAGCGAGGAGAAGAGAGAGAGGAGAGAGAGAGAGAAAGGAGAAGAGAGAGAGAGAGAGAGAGAGAGAGAGAGAGAGAGAGAGAGAGAGAGAGAGAGAGAGAGAGAGAGAGAGAGAGAGAGAGAGAGAGAGAGAGAGAGAGAGAGAGAGAGAGAGCGAATTTAATATGATACTCATGAACTGTTTCATGCTCGTGGTGGCAATTATTTGAAAACATCATCATAAAATATCTTGCCAACTGGCAATTAGGTTTCTGTAAGAGTTCTTGTTGTGACCTTTTTCCGTGCCATGGTGAAAAACTGTCAAGAATCTTCCGTCTTCCAAGTTAAAGCTAAGAGGATCCACTTAATTGCAACCGGTTTTATCTCATATGACTCGGCCTTCTCGCCTTAGAACGGCTAGCCGCCTGCCGAGAGCATCACATAAAGCACGACCACCTTAGCTCCGGCGACGACCCCCAGGGGTTTCCATAAAATCTGCACCCGTAAAACGATTGGAAAAAAACCCATTTCGCCATCATTGTCTTCCTCTATATCGAAGCCATGTCTCGAGACCACGCAGCGGCCCTTTATGATGTTTTGTGATAAACTGTCTATGGGTCTTAGTCCTTTTCAATACACCTGGATTATTCACTTCAGCTGTTCAAGAAAGTTTAAGCGTTGAGCTGTAAAACCACATCTCATGGGATACCAATTTTCTTCCTTGTTTATTAATTGTCCATCGGCTGAATGTGCGGAGGAAACCAATACTTGGTTCAATGGACCTGATGGCGCAAAGAGCACGGTGAGGCACGTAGAACACCCTGGTCATCCATTGCACCTGACGTCATCTCCAGCCGTCTCGACTTGTCGGAGACTTGTCCTGACATTGGATTCAGATGGAACAAGGCGAGAGAGTGAGGTCGACAAAATTGCGCACTTCTTCCTTACTTTAATCCAATTAATCGCGCTAATCACTGTTTATACCGAAGTAGTGCAAAGATCTGCGAGGCATCTAGAACAAGATAGGCATACAGGATAGGCATAAAAGAATCTGCTGCCTGTGATTGTTGAGCAGAAAGACAGACCCCTGGGCACACACTACAGTACTGCCCTTACCTCTCCCAGCAAAGACTGTGGATCTGGCCCAAGGTAGCCACATTGTAAGAGAAGCTATGGGAGACCGGTGGCGACCTTAAACGCACAATCCTATTTGTGACCCAGACGGGACTCAATGTTTAGCATGACTGATGTCGAACGCAGAAGAAGAAGAAGAATCTAGAACAAGGGCAGCTGAACAGTGAAGACAGGACAGAAAGGACCGCCAACAGGCCCTCTGTCTACAGACACTGTGCCCTGCTGCACTCATTGTCCCAGACTCTTCCGGACACGTATTGGACTTACAATTCACTTCTGGACTTACAAACATTCAACTGCAGTTTCTTGACGGATGAAAGAAAGAGTGGTCCTTATCACTTGTGATCGACGAACGAACACAGAACATTAATTATCCTGAATTCACAGCCATATGTTCTGTACAAAATATGCGAATATATTTGCTTCTAATCGCCAATATAATTGATTAATTGCATACTATATTCTTCAATTTCTAAACAGCGAAATTAAAATAATTATTGAAAATACTCACCTAGTCTGCCATACTTGCATGCAAACTAAGGGTTTTCTTACATTGTAACGTAAATTTTAGAATCTTTTTTCTTTCTTTCGGAAACAACTATCGTAGTTTTTAATGCAGCATTTCTCCCTGTGCTGCCCTGACAGCCCTCTCTCTCTCTCTCTCTCTCTCTCTCTCTCTCTCTCTCTCTCTCTCTCTCTCTGTCTCCATCTCTCTCTCTATCTCTCCCCTTCCTCCCTTTCTGCCTGCCCGTCTGTCTGATAGTCTCTACTTGTATGTCTGTCTTTATGTTTATTTCTCTGACCATATATGTTTTAAATATGCACCAGTGTCTGTGTTTCTATCTCTGTCTGCTTCCCTCAAGTTTTCTGTTCATTTGTTGTTGTGTACGTTTTAGAAAATTGTACCGTACATTTCCTGTTATTTTTAAAACATCACGAGTTGTGTAACGTTACTGCCGAATCACAGATCTCACAATACTGTTGTCAGCGATCTTGCAGATTGTACATTGTTGTTGAATCGCAGATTTCACAGGTTGAGGAAAGGCACGACGGAAGTACAGTCGAATTGCTGCTGGCACCATTGGAATAGGTACCTGTTTGTTAGCTGCTGAGGATGAGGACTGAGCGCTCATTTGAATGTACCAAGTGCTGTAATATCAGCTCGTAGCTTAACACTCCACAACACTTTTAATTCCCACTTCTTGTTTGCTGTTTCAACAGATCAGTTCCTGTGAAATACTTCACGCATGAGCTGTCAGTCAGGGGAAGACTGAGAAAGTTTTTTATTCGGAACTCGGCCACTCGTAAGTTTTCTTTCATTTTTTTGGTGTGTTTCCCGTGGTCCAACTTTGGGGAAAGCAGAATAGACCCACTTCTTCGCCAACAAGCATGTCCGAAGAATGCGTCCTTCAAATTCAGAGTGCATCCTTCAAATTCAGAGTGCATTTGCCTGGGAGGCATGGAAACAGCAATTTGCATACGGTTTAGTCAGCTCTTTTAAACACATGTGCACTCAACACTCAGGTTCTGGAAAAAGACTAAAGTCCAGAGATGGACACACAACCAGAACTCTCCGCCGGGGTTTACAGTCGGTGAATGAGAAGAAGGAGAAAAAGAAGAAGAAGAAGATTTCTTATGTAAGTGTATGTGCTTATTAAAAAAAAAAGTAAAGGTCTCTTTGGGGAGTGGCCGTGGCAGAGCGGCTAGACGCCCGCCTGCAGATTCATAGGTTGTAGGTTTACTCCCTGGCATAGTCAGACTTTTTTCAAAAATGACCTTGGCTCCCAGGTCGACCTAGCCTTACATACACATCATTGGCGTATGGGGCATATCAGACAAGACACTTATTTTTACAGACCAATCAGCCCCTAAATGGGTGACAAGGACAACATCGTGCCAGCCGCCTTCACTTGACAGCCTTCACTTTACATGGTACCCATTTATTGAATGTAATAAACAATCAAGGTATTGATGGGCACTCATAGAAAGAAGGTACCCATTTAGGCCGACTGGAAGCCAAGGTATTTGCTTATACTTATAGTATTTACTGGAAGCCGCCGCAGTGTAGTGGCTAGATGCTGGCCTGCGGTTCTGAAGGTCATGGATTCAAGTCCTGATGAAGCCGGACTTTCTTTTGGGGGCGAAAATGACCTTGGCTTCCAGGTTGACCCAGCCTTCATAAGGTACCAGGTGGTTCCTGGGAAGTAATGTTGACCACATCACCCACCATGTCGATTGGTGAATAAAGTATGTATGTATATGTATGCGCAGTACACCTGCAGGCGTAGAAAGAAGTCAACATATCAACAACATATGTGCTGTTAACTGTTTCTCAGGTGGCAAACCACAACTTTTCACCTGGGACAGAAAGATAAAAAGTAAAGTAAAGGACCCTTTTCCATGCCTTTCAGATTTACTGGGCATATAGGGCTAGACCTATATTTTATTGACCAAATGGCACTTGGTGGGTGATGTGGTCAGCATCACGCCAGCTGCCTTTTCTTCCCAGGACTGCACCTGATACCTACTCAAGGCTGGGTTGACCTGGGAGCCAAGGTCATTTTTGAAAACAGAAAGATAATGATAAACAAATTATAAACACTACTTCTTCTTCATTTGCCCTTAAAAAAATAGTGGTTGGCATATCGTGTTGTGTTTTACAGCTTGGCTGTGATATCTGAGCTTTTCAGAGTAACATATCCGAATTCAGCAGATGTGTCACTTACTGCTACAGTTGTTTTACCGACTGGTACGGCCGTTTCACTGACTGCCCTGTCTGTTTTACTGACTGCTAAAGATGTTTTACTGGCTGCCAAAATGTTTCACTGACTGATAAAATGTTTCACTGATTAGTATACACTGTTTCACTGATTAGTACAACTGTTTTACTGACTGCCACAATGTTTCACTGATTAGTACAACTGTTTCACTGACTGCCACAATGTTTCACTAATTAGTACAACTGTTTCACTGACTGCCACAATGTTTCTCTGACTAGTACAACTGTTTCACTGACTGCCACAATGTTTCACTGACTGCCACAATGTTTCACTGACTGCCACAATGTTTTACTGACTGCCACAATGTTTCACTGACTGCCACAATGTTTCACTGACTGCCACAATGTTTCACTGACTGCCACAATGTTTCACTGACTGCCACAATGTTTCACTGACTGCCACAATGTTTCACTGACTGCCACAATGTTTCACTGACTGACTGCCACACTATGTTTCACTGACTGCCACAATGTTTCACTGACTGCCACAATGTTTCACTGACTGCCACAATGTTTCACTGACTGCCACAATGTTTCACTGACTAGTACAACTGTTTCACTGACTGCCACAATGTTTCACTGACTAGTACAACTGTTTCACTGACTGCCACAATGTTTCACTGACTAGTACAACTGTTTCACTGACTGCCACAGTGTTTCACTGACTAGTACAACTGTTTCACTGACTACCACAGTGTTTCACTGACTAGTACAACTGCTTCACTGACTACCACAGTGTTTTACCGACTAGTACAACTGTTTCGCTGACTACCACAGTGTTTCACTGAATCATACAACTGTTTCACTGACTACCGCAGTGTTTTACCGACTAGTACAACTGTTTCGCTGACTACCGCAGTGTTTCACTGAATCATACAGCTGTTTCACTGACTACCACAGTGTTTTACCGACTAGTACATCTGTTTCACTGACTACCGCAGTGTTTCACTGAATCATACAACTGTTTCACTGACTACCACAGTGTTTTACCGACTAGTACAACTGTTTCACTGACTACCACAGTGTTTCACTGAATCATACAACTGTTTCACTGACTACCACAGTGTTTTACCGACTAGTACATCTGTTTCACTGACTACCGCAGTGTTTCACTGAATCGTACAACTGTTTCACTGACTACCACAGTGTTTTACCGACTAGTACAACTGTTTCACTGACTACCACAGTGTTTTACCGACTAGTACAACTGTTTCACTGACTACCGCAGTGTTTTACTGACTAGTACAACTGTTTCACTGACTACCAGTGTTTTACCAACTAGTACAACTGTTTCACTAACTACCACAGTGTTTTACTGAATCGTACAACTGTTTCACTGACTACCACAGTGTTTTACCAACTAGTACAACTGTTTCACTGACTACCACAGTGTTTTACCGACTAGTACAACTGTTTCACTGACTACCGCAGTGTTTTACTGACTAGTACAACTTAGGTGATTGAAACCTCATTTGATATTCATCCTTTTTTAGTATTTGTCCTCCTTCCAAGAATGGATTAATGAGTTATATTGGTATTCCAGTGTTTTATGTATGACTTGTTGTTTTCAGGGCTAGCATGCACATTCTTCGATCTGGGCCTGAAGTTTATGATCTGCCTTATCTATGTGGTCAGGGTTGGACTGGACAATGTGAAGGATTATGAATGGTAGGTATTCTCAGTGAAAGAAAAAGTAAAAGTAGTGTAAAATGGATGCCTATGAATAGTAGTTAGTGTACAAAAAGACAAGTAACGATAATGTAAATGTATGCATACTTGCCAATTATCTAGGGCAGTGGCTATCAAGCTTCCTAATGCCGCAACCTTTTAATACAGATCCTTATGTTGTGGCCACTCCCAGCCATACAGTTTTTTCATTGCTATTTCATAACCTCAGTGAATATGTGTTTTATTATGGTCTTTGGCTACCTCCGTGAAAGGGTCTTTCAACCCACAACCTAGGCGTTTTATTTATAATTGTCAGTCCTCCACACATACACACATGATTCCCTCTGTCCACAAACCATGCTGTCCAATTTCCCTGGTTAGGCACATGCTGATGGTGATTATAACTGGAGTTAAGGAGGGCTTGCTCAACCAAGGAACACAACAATTAGCCAGTAAGTCAGACACAAGTAACATGTCCAGTCGTAACTATTACCATTGTCTACAGGTACTGTAATATAGTACACCACACAGATTATGATCTTATAGTGTGATCAGTCTCATTATTATTGACAAACACATTGACGAAGAAGAATTAGTGATCAGTGACTCACTGTCTGTCTACGTCCTGCCACATACACTCACATCGGCAGTCTCTCCAGACGTGGACAAAACACCCTGGAGAATTATGTACAAGGTGCCTGATACGGGTGACTCACGCCCAACCGCGCAGATACACCCACATGATGTACAGTGACAGTCCTCTGATAGTTTCCTTCTAAGAGACCCCACCACCTGAGGACACAAAGTAGGTGCACCACTTGGTGGAAAGAATCCAGACCTCCCCTCTGCAGTTTCACTGACTACCACTTAAGTTTCACTGACTGCGGCTACAATTTCACTGACTACCACAGTAGTTTCACTGACTACCACAGTAGTTTCGCTGACTACCACAGTAGTTTCACTGACTACCACAGTAGTTTCACTGACTACCACAGTAGTTTTGCTGACTACCACAGTAGTTTCACTGACTACCACAGTAGTTTCACTGACTACCACAGTAGTTTCACTGACTGCCACAGTAGTTTCACTGACTACCACAGTAGTTTCGCTGACTGCCACAGTAGTTTCACTGACTACCACAGTAGTTTCGCTGACTACCACAGTAGTTTCACTGACTACCACAGTAGTTTCACTGACTGCCACAGTAGTTTCTCTGACTGCCACAGTAGTTTCACTGACTACCACTTAAGTTTCACTGACTGCGGCTACAGTTTCAGTGACTACCACAGTAGTTTCACTGACTACCACAGTAGTTTCACTGACTACCACAGTAGTTTCATTGACTGTGGCTACAGTTTCACTGATTACCACAGTAGTTTCACTGACTACCACAGTAGTTTCACTGACTACCACAGTAGTTTCATTGACTGCGGCTACAGTTTTACTGACTACCGCAACAGTTTCACTGACTACCACAACAGTTTCACTGACTACCACAGCAGTTTCACTGACTACCACAACAGTTTCACTGACTACCACAACAGTTTCACTGACTACCACAACAGTTTCACTGACTACTACAGCAGTTTCACTGACTACCACAACAGTTTCACTGACTACCACAACAGTTTCACTGACTACCACAACAGTTTCACTGACTACCACAGCAGTTTCACTGACTACCACAACAGTTTCACTGACTACCACAGCAGTTTCACTGACTACCACAACAGTTTCACAGATTACCACAACAGTTTCACTGATTACCACAACAGTTTCACTGATTACCACAACAGTTTCACTGATTACCACAGCAGTTTCACTGACTACCACAACAGTTTTACTGATTACCACAGCATTTTTACTGACTACAGCTGCAGTTTCACTTATTACTGCAGCAGTATCATTGACTACCACATCTTTTTACAGATTACCACAGTGATTTTACAGATTTGCAAAGCAATTTCACTGACTACCACAGCAGTTTCACTGACTGCTACAATTCTTTCCACATCTGTTTTCTTGGTGATCAAACAACCATGTCTTCCCTGCATTTATTATTATCATAACATGAAAACAAACTGTTAATAACTTCTTTGTTTATATTAATATTTTCTTCATATTGTCTGGGAAGAAAAGACAATAAGAAAGAGATTTGTACTGTCTCTGGGAAGAAAAGACAATGGGGAAGAGATATGTCCTGTCTCTGGGAAGAAAAGACAATGGGAAAGAGATTTGTCCTGTCTCTGGGAAGAAAAGACAATGGGGAAGAGATATGTCCTGTCTCTGGGAAGAAAAGACAACGGGGAAGAGATTTGTCCTGTCTCTGGAAAGAAAAGACAATGGGGAAGAGATATGGCCTGTCTCTGGGAAGAAAAGACAACAGGGAAGAGATATGGCCTGTCTCTGGGAAGAAAAGACAATGGGGAAGAGATATGTCCTGTCTCTGGGAAGAAAAGACAATGGGAAAGAGATTTGTCCTGTCTCTGGGAAGAAAAGACAATGGGAAAGAGATATGTCCTGTCTCTGGGAAGAAAAGACAATAGGAAGAGATATGGCCTGTCTCTGGGAAGAAAAGACAACAGGGAAGAGATATGGCCTGTCTCTGTTAAGAAAAGATAACAGGGAAGAGATATGGCCTGTCTCTGGGAAGAAAAGCCAATGGGGAAGTGATATGGCCTGTCTCAGGGAAGAAAAGACAATGGGGAAGAGATATGGCCTGTCTCTGGGAAGAAAAGACAATGGGGAAGAGATATAGCCTGTCTCTGGGAAGAAAAGACAATGGGGAAGAGACATGTCCTGTCTCTGGGAAGAAAAGACAACAAGGAAGTGATATGGCCTGTCTTGCATCATTGTCATGGCCTAGAACATGTGAAGACCTAAAGCGCCACATCCCAGTGAGCACTATTTGCCTTGAGACAAGCACCTCATCCCAGTGAACACTATTTGCCTTGAGACTAGTACCACATCCCAGTGAGCACTATTTGCACTGAGACTAGCACCACATCCCAGTGAACACTATTTGCTTGAGACTAGCATCACATCCCAGGGAGCACTGTTTGCCCTGAGACTAGCACCACATCCCAGTGAGCACTATTTGCCTTGAGACTAGCACCACATCCCAGTGAGCACTATTTGCCCTGAGACTAGCACCACATCCCAGTGAGCACTATTTATTTGCCTTTAAACTAGCACCACATCCCAGTGAGCACTATTTATTTGCCTTTAAACTAGCACCACATCCCAGTGAGCACTATTAGCCCTGAGACTAGCACCACATCCCAATGAGCACTATTTGCCCTGAGACTAGCACCACATCCCAGTGTGCACTATTTATTTGCCCTGAGACTAGCACCACATCCCAGTGAGCACTATTTGCCTTGAGACTAGCACCACATCCCAGTGAGCACTATTTGCCCTGAGACTAGCACCACATCCCAGTGAGCACTATTTATTTGCCCTGAGACTAGCACCACATCCCAGTGAGCACTATTTGCCTTGAGACTAGCACCACATCCCAGGGAGCACTATTTATTTGCCTTGAGACTAGCACCACATCCCAGTGAGCACATTTATTTGCCTTGAGACTATCTTTTACCTTATATTAACCAAACGAAAACCATTCCCCATCTGTTTCTCTAGCCATGGCAGACCCTGTCATGTGGACAATTCAACTGTCAGTGAGAGAGATGCCATGTATAATCAGATGGAAATCAACTGGTGAGTAGGCTATGTTGATATTTTTTTTCTGAACACTAACCACTTTAGCTACGTGAGAGGTAGCCACAATGTTGTGTTTAGTATGTTGTCATTTTACTTGAGGGATGGCTGGCCAAATGGTTAAGAACACTGGACTCTCAGGTGGGTAACCAATGTTTGAATCCTTAATAAGGTTATGGCTTTTTCTGTTAGGGGCAAAAATAAAATCTTTACCTGCACAGTCCTTGGTGACTGCACCAGCCATGTGGCTCTAAATCCTCAGGCTCGAAGACCACCTGGCTACAGTGTAGTAAATACATGCAATAATGAAATTTTTTGACATTTTTCTTAACAGTAACCTGTTTTGTTTGTTTTAGTATCCAGAAGCCATGAGCTGTTAACCCTTAGGCTCGGTATTATGGATATCGCAACCTTTTTGACCTTCATTCCATTGTAAATACCATAAATCTGGGAGAAATTTTGCTTTTCTACCTACCCCCGGGAGTGAACCCGGACCACAAGGAGTTCGTCACCCAGTCACAGCGCAATCCGGTTTAGCCAACTACGCTAAAGAGCCGGGCAACAGTAACCAGTTTAATTAGATGAGATGGATACAAACAGTTTTGCAATTAGATGTTGTTGTACTTCTATAGAGTAACCATTTTAGTTTAGAACTAACAATACACGAAGAGACAGGGTTATGAATACCAGCATTAGAGAGAAAGTTGGAGAAAGACCTTGTCTGGACTATATTGACAGACAAAGAATGAAATGGTTAGTTAGCCATATAGAGAGACTGCAGCCAAACCAAACTGCAAATGAGACCTTTTTACAGCAGAACATCTGGGAAGAAGGGGATAGGAAGACCAGAAAGAAATGGATAAATGGTGTAGCAGAAACCTGCAAAAAGATGAACAAATCCATCACCTAAACCATCCTAGAAGTGCAAGACAAATACAGGCAACTCCGACACTGGGTTACAACCTGGTATCTGTGAGACGACAAAAGAAGAAGAACCACTTTAGTTGTATGAGAGGCATCCAGCAAGTTTTTAGTATGTTCTCTGGTGCCTGAACAGTACTACTTGAGCTCTACAAGAAACATCAGACAAATGTTAACTTACAAGAACTGCACTAGTCTACCCCAGAACTGTACTGGTCTACCCCAGAACTGTACTGGTCTACCCCAGAACTGTACTGGTCTACCCCAGAACTGCACTGATCTATCCCAGAACTGAACTGTACTGGTCTACCCCAGAACTGTAGTGGTCTACCCCAGAACTGTACTGGTCTACCCCAGAACTGTACTGATCTACCCCAGAACTGTACTGGTCTACCCCAGAACTGTACTGATCTACCCCAGAACTGCACTGGTCTACCCCAGAACTGTACTGGTCTACCCCAGAACTGCACTGACTTACCAAGGAGCTGCTCTATTCTACCACATAACTGCACTAGCTTAAACCAGAGCTAGACTGGTCTACTGCAAAGCTGCACTGGCCTGCCTCAGAGCTACAATGATCTTCCTCAAGGTTACACAGCTCTTCCTTGGAGTCTGGTCTGCACACATCTCAAGCATGCAACTACTAGAGATTAAACTTTGAATTGCTATCTTGGTGGGTAAGCATTCTAGCCCGTATATCAGTTATGTTTTCTGAAAGTACTAACAGCTGACAATATGTTGATGTGGCAGGTATGTGTTGGTCTGGATACATAGATCAATGACTCTGTGGGTGATGGATGTGACCTTATCCTTCATCTCTCTGTCCAAGGCATTTCTGATGATCTACATTGCCACAAAGGTAAGTGATCATCATCATCATCATCTTATTGTGCTGTTATACACTGCTTAGGGCTCACAGCTGATTTCTCAGTTCCGTTCTGTTCTGTGCAGTTTCTTTTGATATCATGTATGGAGACTAGTCCAGCATCTGTGGCTTTTCTTATTTTTTCAAGTCTTGGTCATCCTCACTTCTTCAGTCTATTTCCCATCTCACTGCCTGTTTTGTGCTATCTTCTTCTGCCTTTCTATCCCCCAGTGGAGCATAGGCCCTCAACCAACTCACGCCAAGTCGTTCTATCCTTTGCCATTGCATGGTGCTCTCCCCATGTCCTCCCCATCTTTCTAACCTCATTCTCCAGCTCTCTTCTCCATGTGTTTTTTGGCCTTCCTTTATTCCTATGCCCCTGTGGGTTCCAATGCAAAGACATTCTAGTTATGCTGTTCTCCTGTTTTCTCAGTGTGTGTCCTATCCAACGCCAGCATCTTCTATAATGTTTCATTTCCTTTGCTACTTCCATTGTTCTCCCTATATCATAGAGAGTTCTAACATTCCAGGTGCCAATTCTGGAGGTTTTCCTAGCTGAGAGGAGGTACGTCAACGATCCGGACTCCTTACGGCTTTCTCCACACTGTGTCTTACTTCTTCTATTTGAAGAGCCTCCCCTCATCTTGGTTGGCTGGATTTTACTTGCTTCTCTTTTTGACTTATCCATGGTTGGTTGGTTTTTGTGGCTATGGTTTTTACAGGATGAGGTAGCCAACCTCAAACCCAACCCTACCCTTAATCGCCTCTCACGACATGCCTGGTAGGGTGCAGTGTCTCTATTCTTTGCTTCCCGTGAGGGTTCCGGTGACACACGGGCAGTTTTGTGTTATGTGCTATCAGCAGCCATTTTGTAGGAACTGTGCACTGCACACTCCCTGACTAACTAGGTTATAGGAGTGGCATATATTTGATTATAAGTTTATTTAGCAAGATGGTTATTTTATGGGGTGGGGCAGCTGCATCGTCCCCAACCCTCCTTCCTACTTATCCAGGTTTTAGGACTGGCAGTAACAGAGTCTTTAGTTGAGATTTTGTGTATTAACCAACAGTGCCTTTTCAGTAGTCTCATTTTTTTAAAAGCCATATTACTGTCATGAGATTAACACATAATGTTAAATGTGTAGCCATATTTCGGACTCACATGTGTAGTTAAATGCACTGCTAAGACACCATTACATCTTTCATATCATCAGCATCATATTAAACAAGAAATGCTAAATAAAACACCAAATGTGACTAGAAAGCTCAACGGACAAGACAAAAGAGCTAATAAAGAAAGCCAAGGTCAAAAAGGTCAAGGATGTTGACCTTAGTTTTTTATTAGCTCTTTTGTCTTGTCCAATGAGTTTTTAGTCACAGTCTGTTCTGTATGTAGTACTCCATTGATGAAGACTTTGGTCGAAATGTTCGGTTGTGTTTGTGTGCATCTTTTTTATTCCCTCCGTTGAGCTTTCCAGTCATATTTTGTGTTATATTTCACATTTCTTGCAATCAGCTCGACTGCAGTCACCCCGCTGTTTAGGTCATCATATTAAGCATCATGACTAGAAACATTTTTTTCGGCAGTAACAGTCACATCTTCACTGGTGTTTCTCCCCAGGGCCACAGAGTGGATCAGCTTTTAACAATTCAATTTTTTCTGGAAATCATCTGCTCGGTTCCCATGCTGATCACAGTGAGTGTTGTTTGTGATTTATTACTGCATGCATTGTAAAAAATACCTATTCTCAGCGGAGATGTGGTTTTTGAGAAGAATGCAAAGAATATAATGAACTCGCAGAAATATCAGGTACTGAAAAGTACTTTTTACAAAGAGAACCGTGAGTCAGTTCAAGAGAAGCAAACCCACAGCTTTTTTATAGGAAAAAAGGTGCCGGTACTCACCATGAAGTATCTAATAAAAGTTGGCAGCACTCACCACAAATTATCTATTACAGTGGTACTGAAAATAAACATAAAATGGCTCACAAAAGGTGCCGAAACGACACACCGCCCAAAAAGCCCTGGGCTTTCATCCTCAAGACAGATGAAAACCATAAACTGATGAACGAAATTAGACATAAACATTGTTTTTTTTTTTTTTCGTAAACATGAGATGGAATGTACTTGAGAACTTGGTTAGAACTCACTAGACTGAAGAAAAACTGGCAAGTGGAAAGCAAAGAGGTAAATAGTTGGATGGCTTGGCCTGTGGATAGGGCAAGATTAGATCATTGATGTGATCCATGATTCTGGTAATCATGTGAGATAGTAAAGCATGACAGTCTACACTTATCAGCAGGGCACATGATGATGATTGTGATTGTGTGTCTGTTTGTATTACTTTAGGGTAGTCTGACAGTTCAAGGGTTCAAGGCAGTGTTTTTTAGTTGTGAATTTGTTAAATAATCATGCAAAGAATTGTCTACATATTTTATTGCATTAAAATACTCACATTATTGAAGCCGGGAAGGCTAACTCAGGCAACAAATGTCTGAAGAAGTTAGATGTGTCTGCCTGTTTAAATTTGTGTCCGCCATTCTCCTCCTCAGGTCACATATCCAACCAGGTTGAATGCCCTGTGGGTTCCCACCTTTCTGAACTGCTGGTTAGCCAAATATTCTTTGGAGAAAATTTATGTAAGTATCGTTGTTGTTGAAAACTTTCTGTCTTTCCAGATGAAAGTATTATATTGTGCTGAAAATCACTGGCGTAAATGAGAGGTGACTGCAGTGGAGCTGATTGCGAGAAATGTTGAATATATCACAAAATATGACTAAAAAGCTCAATGGAGGGAGTGGAAAAGATGCACACAGACACAACCGAATGTTTCGACTAAAGTTTCTTTTCAATGGACCACTAAATACAGCATAGACTGTGACTGAAAAACTCAGTAGACAACACAACAAAACTAATTTTTAAAAATCCAATGTCTACATGAAATAAAGAAGTACATAGCTGGAAAAGGGGGGGGGGGGGTATGAAGGGATATAAAACTAAACAAAATAAGTAAGAAGGCGTATATAAAAATAGAAAAAAAGGGGGGGGGGGGGGGGGGGGGTATATATAAAAAAAGTTAAATAAACAAGTAAATAAATTAAAATAAATAAAGCTGTGTCGAATATTGATCCCTCCAAGACATTAGTGCCTGAGATGGTGGTCAGTGAGATTAGCAAGATCAGCTAATGTTAAGAAAGCTGTTCATAATAAGTGCATGGGATTTTAGGACTGTTGTTTATGTCACATTCTTTTATATTTTGACATGTTTCTTCTCACATATACAGTTCTTAACCCTTTCACGCAGAGAAGCCACAAAACCGACACTTCTGGTTGGATCCAGTAACCCATTAATGTCATGTTTCTGACTTGTCTATAGTGACCTGTTTGTGAGATGCATAGTTTATGCTACTGACTGAATTTGCACAAATGTTTTGGAGGTCAAGATATGAAGAGATTAACTAAAAATAGTATTTAGGTTTTTGTTTGGATCAAATAGCTTTTATAAAGCCAAGTGGACATAAGTTTTGTGTGTAAACCTCAGTGATAGAGATCACGGGGTAAGGGCATGAGTCAACTAATACATAGGTCTTTTTGGAACCCCATTAAATGTATTCCATTTAATGCTTCACTCTGTTTGTGTTTAGCAATTACTCCTTTCATATATATTTATATATTAATAAAAAAATTAAGCAATGTAGATAAATACATTTTAAACAGATTTATTAGTAACCTTGAAAAAGTTTTTTTCCCTGAGGATTTTTTCTGAAATTCCAACAGGGTGGTGCCCCATTTTTCCAAGTGTTCTAGGGTGAGAGGGTTAAGCTATCTGCAGTCCTTTTCTACTGTGTCCATATGAACTAAAACCACAAACACGAGCATTAGGTATATAGGGCTAGACCTATATTTTATAGACCAATCGGCACTTCTGGGTGATGTGGTCAACCCGGGCCAGCCGCATTTACTTCCCAGGACGGCACTTGGTACCCACTCAAGGCTGTGTCCTTATTACCTTCCTAATTGTCCCTCTTCAAGCAACATGTTCTTATGAATCTACCTCAGTAGTTGTATCATTCATGTCCATCTTGTGCATATCTTTATAGAGATAAACCACAACATCATTTGTACCTATCTGTAATTGTCCACAGAGAATGTCTTTAGGGATTCTGCTATGTGTAGGAAAGATGGTTCCACAGCCGACCCGCAAAGTATACTAAGTTAATTTTGTATGAGTCTAGCATAGGTTTAGCGACATGTAATAGATGAAGGCATTTTATATATCTTCCATTATATTAACACAAAAACCAAAGGTAATTAGAGCATCTTGTGGTTAGGTTCTGTGAATATATTTAGCCTGATGAGAAGGAGAAAACTAGAGTACATCGTGACATTGGGAAAGCTGGAGGGGAGGAGTGACAGAGGTAGACTGAGAGAAAAGATGCTGGACAGTTTGACATCATGGCATGGAGGATTATCTGTGTCAGAGTTGGTTGACAGTACACCAGACTAAGGGTTGTGGATAGACATGACTATCAACACCACATGGCAGAAGTTTAGCCTACTGAGTTAATACTGACATCACAGGACTCAGGACATTCCCATAGATGCTCTCTTCATCTTCAGCAGCCAGCACAGATTTCCATTTTCAGTGGTAGTAGTAGGACTGGTCGTATGTCTGTCTTGTCTTTTCTCTGTGTTTTGGGTATTGGCCAGATCCATAGGTCAGTCCTCACTGCATTATTCTATGTAGACAGTTATGGTCTGTTTACATGCAGAGACATGCACATACACACACAACCACCCGCCCATTCATGCATGCATGTACTCACACACGTACACTTTTACCATCCCCAAGTGAGTTTGCGTATTACTGATATCAATGTCACATACTTCACTGCTGGGCATGGAAATATTTCCCACAAACCCATGGATCAGCCAGCTCTTCCTGATACTAATGATCATTCCAAGCCAGATTTCTGCTAATTGAAAAATTAATTGTGCACTTTTTTTTTTCTTTTTAAATATTCATCCTTCCAGAAAGATACCACAGCTGGGACAAATTACCTAAACAATTGTAACCATCATAAAAATTTCCATTGTTGCTTTTTTTTTAAAGAATGATCTTCATCTGACAAGACAGAGATTCCAAACGATTTCTGTGACTTTACTTCAGCAGATGGTTCTCCTTGTGGTTAACCTTGTATGTCTGGTGTTCACAAAGTGAGTTGTGTTGTCAGTAGTTAAGTTGTATATCTGGTATTCAGTAAGTGAGTTGTGGTATCATTAGTTAACCTTGTATGTCTGGTGTTACGCCCGTCTCTCTAGCGAAGTTGGCTAAACCGGATTTCGCGGTGAGCGGGTGACGAACTCCTTGTGGTCCGGGTTCACTCCCGGGGGTGGGCAGAAAAGCCACATTTTCTCCCAGATTTACGGTATTTAAAAATGGAATCAAGGCCGAAAGGTTGCGATATCCATAATACCGAGCCTAAGAGTTAACAACTCATGGCTTCTGGATACTAAAACAGTATGTCTGGTGTTCAGTAAGTGAGTTGTGTTATCATTAGTTAACCTTGTATGTTTGGTGTTCACAAAGTGAGTTGTGGTATCTTTAGTTAACCTTGTATTTCTGGTGTTCACAATGTGAGTTGTGGTATCAATAGTTAACCTTGTATATTTGGTGTTCACAAAGTGAGTGGTATCATCAATAGGTAACCTTGTATAACTGGTGTTAGAAAGTGAGTGGCATCATCAACTGTTAACCTTGTATATCTGGTGTTAGAAAGTGAGTGGTATCATCAATAGGTAACCTTGTATATCTGGTGTTAGAAAGTGAGTGGTATCATCCTTAGGTAACCTTGTATATCTGGTGTTAGAAAGTGAGTGGTATCATCCTTAGGTAACCTTGTATATCTGGTGTTAGAAAGTGAGTTGTGTCATCAATAGGTAACCTTGTATATCTGGTGTTCAGAAAGTGAGTTGTGTCATCAATAGTTAACCTTGTATATCTGGTGTTAGAAAGTGAGTTGTGTCATCAATAGTTAACCTTGTATGTCTGGTGTTAGAAAGTGAGTTGTGTCATCAATGGGTAACCTTGTATGTCTGGTGTTAGAAAGTGAGTTGTGTCATCAATAGTTAACCTTGTATGTCTGGTGTTAGAAAGTGAGTTGTGTCATCAATGGGGAACCTTGTATATCTGGTGTTAGAAAGTGAGTTGTGTCATCAATAGTTAACCTTGTATATCTGGTGTTAGAAAGTGAGTTGTGTCATCAATAGGTAACCTTGTAAATCTGGTGTTAGAAAGTGAGTTGTGTCATCAATAGTTAACCTTGTATGTCTGGTGTTAGAAAGTGAGTTGTGTCATCAATGGGGAACCTTGTATATCTGGTGTTCGAAAGTGAGTTGTGTCATCAATAGTTAACCTTGTATATCTGGTGTTAGAAAGTGAGTTGTGTCATCAATAAGTAACCTTGTAAATCTGGTGTTAGAAAGTGAGTGGTGGTATCATTAGTTAACCTTGTATGTCTGGTTTTCACAAAGTGAGTGGTATCATCAATAGATAACCTTGTATGTCTGGTTTTCACAAAGTAAGTGGTGGTATCAGTAATTAACCTTGTATGTCTGGTTTTCACAAAGTGAGTGGTGGTATCATTAGTTAATCTTGTATGTCTTATATTTACAACATTACTTTAATGCATGCATTCTTTAATTAACCTTCTTCACTGTGTGAGCTCAATACATTGGAGGGGAGAAGGTGGGGGGGGGGGGGGGTGTGCGTGCGTGCGTGCGTGCGCGTGTGTGTGAATGCGTGCATGCACACAGAAATGAAAACCTTTTTCTTTTTACCAAATGAATTTATTATAAGAGAATTTCAGGTAAACCTGTATGCTTAGTTTTCTTAAAGATAACAGAAAATATGTATGCTTAGTTAATTTCATATGTCTCGTTTATCATTTGTGTATATTCTCTAGTTTAAGAAAAATAACTTGAGGACCATGATTAGGTTCACAAATGAAAAGAGTAATCCATAAGAATATATGTGTTGTTCAACCCCGCAAGGCCCATACAACAAGTGACCAACACCCGGTGACACAAAGTGCCACTGTTCAGGTGAGGATCACCCAGGCACAAGTCCCAGAAACCCCGTTCAACTGTTAGGTTATATTAGGGCTTCTGGCTACAGCCAGGGTGGGGCTTTAAAATAACGAAAAATGGCATCCCTTATTGGGATAGGAGATAATGTGGGTCCAAAAGAATACATTTTAACCAGACTTTATTGATTTGTTGACAGTATATGCTTCATGCAACACCTTCAGCGAGCCAGTAAGAACTCCCCACTGAGCATGTTTGAGGCCATGTACTTTGTCATTGTCACCTTCTCCACTGTTGGCTACGGAGACATCTCCCCGGATCTCTGGATTAGTCAGCTGTTCATGATACTCATGATCTGTGTGGCTTTTGCTTCCATCCCGAGACAGGTAAGGTCATTCTATAGAGCACAGGGATGAAAATGGTGTCAAGGTGGTTTAAAGGTGTACATGAAACTCCGAATGTTCCCTGTGTGGGTTCCGGGGTCCCACTGTCGGGGAAAACAAGAATAGACCCATTGCGTCTCCAACAAGCATGTCATAAGAGTCGCCTGTTGGGGGCTTGCTTCAAAGTCGGAATGCATCTGCTTGAGAGGCAAGGAACCAACAGTCTGCATACAAATAATTGAGATCTGTAAAACGGATGCACACACAAAACTCAGGCCCTGGAACAAAGCCAAAGTCCAGGAATAGATGAACAACCAGGTCTTTCCACTGAGGTTTACAGCTGGTGAACACAAATAACAACAACTCTGAATGTACTGGTTGAGGAAACTGCTTTGTGTTTTTTCACCCATTAGGTTCAAACCAAACATGCAGGCTGATTGGCTGGTTCTGCAACTCTTATAGTGAATTGATGCATATTTGTCTTCGTCCTTTCATTCTCCCTGCCAGTAGTTTTCGGGTGATTATTGATTAGTCATTAGAAAGGCTTTTCATCACAGCACTCTGGACAGATCCATAGGTGCTCCGATCTCCTCCCCAAAAGCTCCACAAGTCTAAAACGATTGATGACGCCTGTTCTGTGTTGGTTAATGAAACCTCTTGTCACCTTAGTGAAATTTTGGGTGAAAAAGCCAACAGACTCTTTGAAGTCTGTGGTGTAACACACATCTTCCATGGTTCTATACAGTTTGATTTCCATCAGAATGCCAACCAGCCAAACCTGGGATCGCTTTACTGCGTGTAAAGAGAATATCTTTACGGTCATTGGCATTACAGGCAGTATTTGTGTGGTGTCATTATTATCTGCACCTTTTGACCTGGCATTCTGACTTTAGCGTGCTTTTCTGTTAGGATTAGCTTCCTTAGATGAATTTCCGCCCCCAGCTGATGAGCTCCATCTGTCCCAAACTGATACATGACAAGCTAGATCTTATCAAGGCCTTTTGGGATTGAGAGAACAGCACAGAGGCACATATATTTTATCATGTGTGAAAAGAAGGGTTTAGCAGGGAGTGTCTAGGGCATTTGGCTGACCTTATCACTCAGGGGAAAAGGCAAGATGGACATTCAGTTAGATTGCTACTTGTACCACTGGAACTTGAATCTGCACTGGCTGTTGAAGATGTGGACTGAGCACTTGTGGGAATGTCTGGAGTGCTATAATGTTGGCTATTTACTCAGGTTGGGGGGTGGTTTTTTTTTTAACGCCAATAGTTTTTTAAACAGCTGAGTTGATGTCAAATTTTCCTGTTAGCCTCAATGACAGAGATCACAGAGCCACAGCATGAGTCCCTGATACATTTTGTTTTTAAGTCCCAGGGAGTGTATTTCATTTAATGCTTTACTCTGTTCATGTTTATTGATTATCTCATTTATTTGGGAGTTGCTGTGATGTAGCGGCTGGACACTTGCCTGCGGATTGGTGGGTCGTGGGTTTGGGTTCTGATAGAGCCTAACTTTTTTCAGAAATTACCTTGGATCTCAGGTAGACCCAGCTTTGAGTGGGTACCAGGTGTGCAGTCCTTGGAAGTAAAGGCAGCCAGCGTGATGCTGTCCACCTCACCCACCAAATGCTGACTGGTCTATAAAATATAGGTCTAGCCCTATATGCCCACATTTTTGGATTGTCCTGGGACTAATTGTTTGTTTATCAGTTTTTCAAATGCAATAGTGAGGGACATTTCATTTGATTTTCACTGGAGCAAGTATGGGGAACGGAGCAAGTATGGGGAAACCTGATTGCAGTGAAGTTGAAACTCGACTAAGACAAAGACTAAGACTTTGTGCAGTTTTTGTTGGAACCTCAACTAATGACTGTAATTGAAAAAATTATTTCAGATTGAAGGCTTGATATCCACATACATGGAGAGACAGAGAGCTGGTGGAGAGTACAGCCGAAGATCTGCCCGTCGTAACAAGCACGTCATTGTTTGTAGTAGCACGCTCACTCAGGACACCCTCATGGACTTCCTCAATGAGTTTTATGCTCATCCTAAATTAGAGGTAGATACACATTTATGTCTCTTGATATCTGAAACTCCCAGTGTACATTTTTTTTAGTATAGGTGGGGGAGGGGAGAGATGGATTAGAACTACTGGCCTCAAACAAATAGGTATTAAAAGACACCTTGAAACTAACCGGAAAGGCTGCAGAAGTGGGATGTGTTGACCGAAAGGCCAAATATCGCAGCTAAACTTTAAACGGGCTCAACACAATTATGTCTTCAGATGAATGCAGAAGATGAAGAAATGGCAGCTAATTAAGAGTTGAAAACGTTTTCCTATAGTGAATTTAAATATTGCTCATACAGACAAGATATACATTGCACAGTTTATTGCTAGACATAAAAGTAAAGAGTAAAGATTTCCTTTCATGCCATTAGGCGCATCGGGCATATGGGAAGAGCACCTATATTTTTACTGTACAATAGGCACTAGGGGGATAATGTGGTCAGCATTACGCTGGCTGTCTTTACTTTCCCAGGACACACATCCTAGTATCCATTTTAGGCTGGGTCATCCTGCGACGCCCCATACGATGATCAAAATCCACGCAGCCAGCAGTGGGTTTTCGATTGCAGTACGTTGGAATTACTAGTAGGACTTGCAACACCTAAGCCACAGACGTCGCATTGCCAGACATATTTTGCTGTATCCCATCAGCTGTAAGCGATTTGTCAACTGTGCAGATCACAGCTTAGTTCTAGACCACAACACAACATGCCAGTCATCCATTCAAGGGCAGACATAGAAAAAAGAAGATATTTCAAACAACTATTTTAGATAAATGAAAAATATCTTATGCAATAAATCGCTCTCATTTAATGTTAGAAAAAGGGTGCTTAAATGTTACATAGAACCTGTTCTGCTCTATAGCAGCAAATCTTGGAATGTCACTGAACAAATTAAGAAGAATTTGGAAGCAACAGGGATGTTTTTTCTGAGACGAATGTTACGAATACCTTGGACAGCCAGAGTAACTAACTACAGTTGCTTGAAAGAGGCTAATGAAAGTAGATCCAAATATACAACAATAAGAAAGAGACAAACACTGTTCTTTGAGAGATATTGGAGAACATTGTGACAACTGGAAAGATCAGTGGAAAAGGTGGTAGAGGCAGGCCAAGAGAGATGATGCTGGATGGGCTGAAACGATGGCATGCAGGGATATCATCAAGAGAGCTGTTTCAGTCAACCAGGAATTGTGATCTGTGGCCTTAAGTTGGCACCATCAGTGGCTGTGATTCCTATGCTTTTATTCAGCACAGTATAACACTATTGTCTGGAACAATGCCAGCTGGTAGATCTTATTACATGTCTGCATAATTGCATTGTGTATCGTTGTTTTGTTGTTGTGTTTGTTAGGAGGGATTTAAAGCTGTTGGCAAGTTGAGTAATGATTTAGCAATGGACCAAACTGATGTTCTTATTGCCCTCTGGGAGGCAGAGCAAGTAAATGATTCAGGCGATGATGGTGAGTTTGCAACCTTGACAAAACTACAAGAACTTTATGTCAAATGAGGTGTCACCAAACACCAACACTGTACAGGTAGCCAAAATAAGAATAGTAAACCAACTGGCTTTACCAGTCGCTACTCACTGAGGGAGCCACTAAAGATTGGATCCAAGCTCTTATTGGTTTGTCGAATTTGTGATGAGAATAATTGGTCAATTACCAACTAACGCATAGCAAACATTCTATTTCTATTATTGCTGTAAACAGTTAGTGTCACATTTGTTTTAGGAACACACTGTGATCCTCCTGTGTTCTCAAGAGCTGGACAGCAGCAAGCAGGTGATCCTGAAGGACCCCAAGTGGACTCACAGGGTCATTTACATGAAAGGATCTTCACTAAAGGACATTGACTTGAAGAGGAGCCGTGTGCATCAGGCGGATGCCTGCTTCTTTCTTGCACCTCGGCCCACCCAGGATAAAGCCAAGGCCGTGAGTTTTCTTCTGCCTTTCTAACCCCCAGTAGGGCATAGCCCCTCAGCTAACTCACGTCAGGTCATTCTGTCCTTCACTACTGCATGCAGCTCTACCCATGTCCTCCATATCTTTTAAACTTCACTCTCTAGCTCCCTCCTCCATGTGTTTTTTGGCCTTCCTTTATTTCTGTGCCCCTGTGGCTGTGAGTATTTACCTTGTAGCCCTATTCCCACAGTGAACTACAGGTTATTTGGTTACCATTTTGGTGACCTTATGTAACTTTATTATACAGTTGAATGAGGTTTCTGGGATTTGTTACTGTGTGATTCTCATCTTTGAGGTGTTAATATTACAGACAGCAGTCCTAGAGGGGAATCGGTAAATACCTATCTTACTTACTTATTACCTTGTTGGACATGACCATATGTCTGTCTGGTTCTCTCTATATCTCCTGCCTTATTCTGTTGTCTATATTTCCTGCCCCAATCTCTCTCTGTATCTCCTGCCCCACTCTCTCTATGTGTCACCTGTCCCACTCTGTCTGTCTAAATCAACTGCCCCACTCTGTCTTTCTATATCTTCCTCTCCCTCCCCCCTCCCTCTGAATCTCTCTATCTCTCACTCTCTCGCTCTTATCTCTGCCACTGTCTCTCATTTCTGTTTATATTAGCTCAGAGTTCATACAAAGTTATTAAAAAATTTAGATTATTTACCAGCAGATAGCTATCAATAAATGGTTCAACAATGTTGTGTAATGTTTATGGGTGTGGTTCACCAATTATACCTTTCCCTTTGCATATCCCTAAAATAAAAGTAATGGACCTTTTTGTGCATTTAGGTCTATTCGGTATGTAGTGCAACACCTGTAATTCTTTTAAATACCATTTGGCACTCTAGTGATGTGGTCAGCATCGTGTCAGCTGCCTTTACATCCTAGAACTTTACCTGACAAATATTTAAGGCTGTGTGGACCTGGGAGCCAAGGCCATTGTTTGCAAAAATCCAGCTCTATGCAGATCTGAACCCTTGACCTTTTGACCCACAGGCGAATGTCTAGCTGCTACACCATGACGGCTGCCTTATCCCTAAAGTGGGTAGGAGGAATTGTCTTGTTGTTGGTCACAGTTAATCACAGCTATCCTTTGTGAAAAACATTGACGAAACATAAATTGTTGACTAAATCATCTGTCATATGCCACTTTGGTCTGAACTCATTTGGTACCTTAACCCTTTTAGCACGGGAAGTTTTTCAGAGGTCTAGCCAAAAACAAGGAGCATTTTTTCAGTGTATTTGGTTATTACTTTATTTAATTTTTTTGACAGATTTCTGTTATTCTGACCCCTGTGAAATAATATATCTATTTGAAGGATATAGATTGAAGTTCATGATTTTCACAATATCGTTAAAATTAATTGATGTGTATGCAAATTATCTCATTTGCATATCTAAAAATAGAAAATATGAATTTGAATTTTCAACTTCAATGCTTGAAACATAAAACTAAAAACAAAAATTTTTTTTATTTGAAATCTTTTTATTGATCTTTGGCCTATTTGCAAATGTTGTAAGCAATTCAATAGTCAAAAACAGGTATATATATATGAAACAGCAATAATATCTTTAGGTGACATGTGTTTTTCACCATCAGTCAGCACAAGAAATGGATGTGCCGGAGTGTCAACACCTTCGGGTGGATATACCCTGAGCCATGGTTGGGCTGTGATCTGAACACAACAGCATCCCCATCTGATTCCCACTATTACTACTAACACTAAATCCTGCATCAGTATCAACAGAGTTAGTGTCATCACTTGATTCAAATGTTTTATCAACATCAAGTTTAGGAGCAGAAACATACGAGTCAGACATACTTTTAGCGGTTCAGGTCACTATCTAAAAAATTCAACAACAATTTTCACTTCGATACCAAACACTCGAAAGTCGCCATGTGTAAAGCTGATACAGCAGTTAATATAAATGAAGCACTTTCAGTGTTTCAAAATAGGAGATTTCTTAGCGGTTCGAGGCGAAACACGATCGGGCCGATGATCGGCCGTTCCGTGTTTTTGGCCAGACATCCGCCGGCCGATAATCGGCCCGTCCGTGCTAAGAGGGTTAAGGTATAATGAGAGGTATGTGAAATGATGAAAATACCATAAAGAAAAATCAATAATTTATTACATTCAAAGTGGTAAAATACACAGTGGTAGTGACCATTTAGGAATGCCAGATATGTCTGTATGTTTTGACTAAATAAAAAAAAAATAATAGAGCACATTATGCTGTGGAGGGAAATCAAGGGGTAAAGTCATTTACACACCTGGCATTGTTTGGGATTGAAAGAGTTTGAAATAATATAGGTCTAGTGCCATATAGGGAGTCGCTGTGGCGTAGTGGCTAGATGCTCACGTGCAGATTGGAAGTTTGTGGGTTCGCTTCCTGGCAGAGCCAGACTTTAAAAAAAATTACCTTGACTCCCAGGTCGACCCAGCCTTGAGGGTACCAGGTGCAGTCCCGGAAAGTGAAGGCGGCTGACCACATCACCCATCTTGTGCTGATGGGTCTATAAAAATATAGTTCTAGCGCTATATGCCCTATACGCCTAAAGGTGTGGAAAAGGGACCTTTACTTTTACTTTTTACTTAGTGCCATATGCTCAGTGCATCAGGGGTGTGAAACAAATTCCTTTATCTGGTGTTGTTACTTACAGTTATCACTGTGTATTCACAACTGTCACTGCCTTTTCTACAGGACAGGCACACAGTGTTAAGATCATGGGCTGTCAAGGACTTTGCTCCAAACTGTAAGCAGTACATTCAGCTGTTTTGTGCAGCCAACAAAATACATGTGAAATTTGCTGGTAATTATTTGTTTTTCATACTTTACCTGTACCATTTTGTTCTTCTGTTTTGTGTTGTACTTTTGTGTGTTTGGGGGTCTTCGTGGTAAATTGGTCAAGCTGTTTGAATCGCCCTCTGATGGTCATGGATTCGTTTCACCATCATGCTGTTCGGTTTAGGAGTGAAGTTTTTAATGGAGATTCCAAGGGATTGTTGCTTGAGCTATGGAGTTCATTCTTTTTGTAGTATCCACAGCAGGTTGCTAGCCAATCAGAAAGTTTTCAGGCTGTATTTCCTCTTCCTAGGATAAGGCTAGTATCTTCCCCAATGCGCTCTTCCCCCTGAAACTGTTGGCATAATTTGGGATGTCAGGTTTGGTATATGCCCCCCAACAATCAGTGTTAACAGAAGACAGGTAAAAAAAAAGGTAAAATCGGGAGATGTGAACCAGCATCATTGCATACTGTTATAAACCATAAGTGCTCTGCCACCAGTATGGATAGCTGATAAGAAACTGTCGGCCGGTGTCGCAGTTTGCACGTAACTCTGTAGCTACAGCGACGTTCCTCCATTTACCTTAGAGTGTCACTCTGGTACCCATTTCTAGAGGCTGGGTGAACCCCAGAAACCGCCTGGTTTCGAACACCGACCGTGGCTGCAGCGAGTCGCAGCTGGATTTGAAAGCGAGCCTCCTATCGACTAGGCTAACGTGGCTCCCCGTAGACAGGTTGTACCAGCTACTGTTTTACAGTAGCTCAGTGTTGGGCCTTAGGACGTAGATACTGATATTAACTGAAGAAGTGTAAGTCATAAATATTTATTTATAACTTCAGTTTATAACTACCTGTAATTTAACTACCTCTGGTAATGAAAAAAAAGGTAAATTGGTGAACACAGAAGAAGAAACAATGAAAATAAATATCACCAGGGTTGTTACTTGAACCTTTCTTACTAGTGACACCAGATTAACTCTTACAAACTCTTCACTCTTCTAGAACATGTGGTTTGTGAGGATGAGTTCAAATATGCACTTCTGGCCAACAATTGTCTGTATCCTGGACTGTCCACGCTTGTGTCTCTGTTGGTTCACACGTCAACTGGACAGTAAGTTGTTATTCTTGATTTCATTGCATTTAAAAATTTGTTTCTATAAACTATCAAGTATTTTCTACAGTAATTTGTTTTGAAATAATCCAGATTTTCCTATTTTTGCAGTTTTTCTCTGTTTTTATTTGTATTTTTTATTTTACATGAGTAAATGTAGACAACAGCTAGTCACACATTTTTAAATGTATTTTATCATTTAATATAATCAGGAAAGAGGAACAACTGGCCAAATAGTTCAGAACTCTGGGTTTTCATACAGCAGGTATGAATCTTCAGTAAGGTCATGGATTTTTCCGGCAGAGACAAAAATAAAGGATCTTGAATTATTGTTTTTTAGGGATAGGCTATTGAGGACTAAAAAAAATGTGGCTGAAGAAGTTGAGTGTTTCAGCTGAAAGGTACGAATATCGCGGCAATGCTGTAAATGTGCACATTGCAGTTACATCCTCAGATGAACTCAGAAGAAGAAGAACAATTAGATATTTGTTTTTTTTATGGCTGAAGAAAGCACCAACCACAATTTTCAGTTTCTCATACAGTGTAACTTAATGACTTACTTCACTTCTTAGTTAGTCGATAGATCGTCTTCATTGCACATAAAACCACTCAATCCATAAGTGCTCGGATCCCCTCCTCAGTGTATCCCACATCATGTAGCTGCTGATAAAATCAGTTCTGTGTTGGTTTATTCTTCTTTTTTGGCCTCCTGCATAGTGCTCTGGTCTGACCACACCCCACCATCTAACTATCTGTACTTGCAGTCTAATCATGATTCTTGAAAATATCTTACTCTCATAGAGTATTCAGTATATGAGTTGAGTCAAGATTTGAAATCACAGCACTCAAGGCATTCCCATGGATGCTCCGTCCTCACCTTGAGCAGCTAGTGCAGAGTTCCAATACTGATGGTACTGGTTACAGTCTGGTTTTATGTCTGTCTTGCCTTTCCTCTGAGTATAGTGAGCAGGCCAAACCCTCTGGTTACACCCAGGTGCAGAGCATTCATTATATCAGCTTGGTCAGTGACTCGTCTGCCCTCCACTCAACCTGCCCTGTTAGCCTATCAGCCTGCTCATTTCCTTTTACACCTGCATATTTTGGCATGAACATGACAGCTGTGACTGCCTCAGAGACCTACCAGTGGCTTCAAGCCTAGTCCATCTCTGTTTTTCTGAGCATACTCATAAAGTCACTAAGAAAGCAAACTCGAATGAAGGTCTGTTTTTCCAGCCAGGTTACTGCTTTAGTTTTAGTTTTTTTTAACCATTTAGTAATATTTGTTTAATACATTTTTACATTTACAGTGTTTATTTTTTGCAATAATAACATTTTGTATCTGTATGTATCCTAGGGTGGGTATTCATCATTGTAGATATATACACACACTCATTATAGATATATACATATTTATATAGGCACATATATACCTGGTAGACTTATATGCTTCTATATTTTTGTTTACATATATATAATTGGGAAAGTATTCCTATTAATGTTACACCCAGTTAAAAATCAGGCAGAAGTGTTTATTGTATAAGTTAGCTCCTCGAGAGAACCGACCCTAGTACAAGACCATTCTTGCAGCTTTCAGACAGTGGTTCGAGTCATACCATGAAAGAGATAGAGCCTCGCCATCTAGTATCCCCAAAGACAGCAGTGGATGAACTTCTCCACTTAGTTAACTTCCATTGTGGGTTTCTATTCCATTATCTCCCCCCAGACAGACAGCTGCATTTTTTAGGGGTTGGTAGATAGGCTGCATGCAATTGTGGGACCTAGGCTGCATGCAGTTGTGGGACCTAGGCTGAATGCAGTCGTGGGACCTAGGCTAAATGCAGTTGTGGGACCTAGGCTGAATGCAGTTGTGGGACCTAGGCTGAATGCAGTTGTGGGACCTAGGCTGAATGCAATTGTGGGACCTAGGCTGAATGCAATTGTGGGACCTAGGCTGCATGCAATTGAGGGACCTAGGCTGAATGCAGTTGTGGGACCTAGGCTGCATGCAAATGTGGGACCTAGGCTGAATGCAGTTGTGGGACCTAGGCTGCATGCAATTGTGGGACCTAGGCTGAATGCAGTTGTGGGACCTAGGCTGCATGCAATTGTGGGACCTAGGCTGCACTCTCTCGTGGAATGTAGGTGGGTTGGGGTTAGGCCTAGTTGTAGATGTTTTTGGGTAGTTAAAGGCAACAGAAAGCCAGAAATGCACACACTTACCACCCTTGAAAACATTGGACTGTCCTGTGACTTTATCCTGGGGGTAGATATTGGGAAAGTGCCCATTGTGGACATAGCATACATTTAAAAAAGATTTTCAGTTGATCGATCGGTTTGTCCCCTCTCTGCTGCTACCTAGAGGTCTACCCGCTGTAAACTCCAACTGAAAGTTCTGGCTGTTCATCCACTTCTGGACCTAAGTCCAGTTCCAGAATTTCAGTTTTTTGAGCACATTCTTTTTACAGATCTGGCTTATTTGTATGCAGGCTGTTGGTACCTCACCCATCAATCAGCTGGACTCCAACTTCAAAGGAAAACACCCCTAATTGATCAACTTTTATGACATGCTTAATAAGGGGTAATGGGTCTATTCCCCCCGCCCCCTCCCCCACAACGTCACAGTGGGTTCCCAGAATATGGGTATAACATGGCAGACCAACAAGGAAGATTCCGGATACCCTGTTCAATTCCTTCCCCCTTGCTCGGATTTTGACATCGCCCAGTGTGTGCAGATTGACCTGTAGGTTGAATTAGGAATTAAGAATCAACATCACAGCACTCAGGTCACTCCTGTGAGTGATCTGACCCTATCTTCAGCAGTGAGCAGAGAGTTCCTATTCCGATGGCACCAGTAACTGTCTGATTGTATCCGTCTCGTCTTTCTCTTGTGTCGTATTGATCTGTAAAAAAAAAAAATATGAATCTACTATCATATGCTTGTAGTGGCTAGATATTCACCTGAAAATCTGGAGGTCACGGGTTTGGGTCCTAATGGATCTAGACCTAAAAAAAAAAAAAAGATGACCTTGTCTGCCACGTTGGCCCTTCCTTAAATTGATACCAGGTAGAGTCCTGGCCAGTAAAGGTGACTGGCGAGATGTTGATCTATAAAATATATGGCTAGCCCTATATGCCCAATACACCTGAAGACGTGAAGAAGGGTCCTTTCCTTTACCTTTTACTTCACACTTATTGCTCTATGTGTCACAGTTGTAAAAATGGTTCTTAACATTACTATGTGTTTGACATGGGTAGAAGGCTGTTGTAGAAATATGGTGTTTATCACATTTTGCTCGGCTTCTCAACATTATTACCTACACTGTCGTCTGTTGTTCTTGTTTATCTTCACATTCACTGTCTCTAAACTCCGGCGGCAAGTTCTGGTTGTGCATTTACTTCTGGACTTTATTCCTATTCCAGAAGTATTTATTTTACAGATCTGTTTTATTTGTATGCAGACTGTTGGTTCATTGCATCTCAGGCAGATGCACTCCAGTATAAACTCCTATGACATGCTTGTTAGGGAGGAAGTGGGTCTATTCCCCCTCCTCCCCCTCCCACAGTGGGGCCATAGAACCCACACCAGATGTCATCTGTTTAAGAAAAATGCATTCATATATCCTGTTCCCTATTAAATATATCATATAAGCATATCTCATACTATACTGTATACTATACTGTATACTGTATATATATATATATATATAATTCATCACTTGATGGTGAATTGATGTATTACAAGCTAGATATTGTGAGGGCCCTTTGGGAACGAGTGAACAGTGTGGAGGCACAGATAGATCATTACGGTCTAAGGAGAATTTTGCTGCAAGGAGTTACCAGGGGATCTGGCCAACGCTCAACACTCAGGGGAAGGATGAGATGGATATACTATCAGATAGTTACTGGTACCATTGGAATTCAAACTCTTTGCTTGCTGCTAAAGATGGGGAACGGAGCACTTATAGGAGTGTCCTGAGTGCTGTGATGTCGATTTATTATTTAACATTTAACATAAACTATACTGCTGTGTAGGTTCCAGGAGGAAAAAATAGAACTACTGACTCTCCAAATAGCAAGGTGTAAGAAAATGTAGCTAATTAGCTGTTTGCTGAAATCATATATTTTACGCCAAAAAGCACAGATATTGCAGCCAACTGCTTTTTCAAGGATAGAAGACGAGGAAGAAGAATGCATGCAATATCTATTTACCTATTAACAGTTGTAACTTTGCCATACAATAATGTACTAAAAATTGGTTTTAAGATTTAACAAACATCTTGTATCCGCAGGTCTGAGTGTATGTCTGTCCTACGCAATTTCTATGGGTGGGTTAAGTCATGAACTGAGAACACCTTCTTGCTTGTAGTTTTATGTCATGATTTACAACACAGTTGGCATGACACTAAACTGCAGTTATGCATGTTACTAACAAATATTAAGGTTCATCTCACTGGTTTGTTTTACCTGGCCTAATGCTTCTAACTTTGTATGGGTAGGGTTCCTGTCAAGACTGATAGCCTCTGAATAATTTAGAGTGTGACTTTACAGTTGTACCTTACAATAGGATTGGGGTACTGAAATATTCTACGTTAATTTGAATCATAATTATAAATTAGATGAAATAAATGAGGCATTAATTATTTTCTTTTTTTAAGAGTTTTAAACTGGCAAATTTGTTTACACTTTCTTTCAAGAAAATGGTAGTCGGTTCTACTGGTGATAATGCTCAAGGAAATCTGAACTTACTTGAGAGCCACTATTACTGTCTGGACACATATTCAAAATAGCTATCTTAGGTTATTTGGAATTATTAAAACAGCGATGTCTTAGTTATTCAGTGTATTAGTCGAGATTCCAAATTCACTGCACATGGGTCACCCCATGATTGCTGTGTTCCTGTGCTAGTGGAAATCACACAAAAAGTCCTTCACTTTCCTATTTGAAAACTGGTGACAAATATCAGTCTCTGCAAAATCTTGAAGCTCGCATATGCAAAGTAC